AATAAATTGTAATTTCCTAAGATCATGACGTCAATTTTGTTGCAGAAATATGATAATAATCAAAAGTTAGTAGAATTTTTGTCACATAACATTAAATATTTTTAATTATAAGTAACTTTTAAAAAATAGAGATTTCATTTCTTCTTAACTCCTCATTTAGCCTTTGCTAAATATAATTAAGATGGATAGTGGATGCTCTAACGCAGGGGTTTTCAAACGGTTGATCGCGAGAGGTTTTTAATTAGATCTATTACATATTATATTTTTTTTAAATTTCTGATATTTCTATTACTTTTATGGTAGATCGCCGATAGTTGATCCAACGAATCATAAAACGATCTAGTTGGTTGTATTTCATGATATCTGGATGGACGATTCTGAGCAAAATTCCAATATTAGAAATCCAGATAGTGTTAAAAACCCGACACTGAAAATCCCGACAGTATCAAAATCCCGAACAATTTAGCGGATTTTGGCAATTGTATAATTAGATTGTATTCAAGAAATAAAAATTTCGAGCGTAGAATTATATTTAAAAAATGAATATTTTTGAAATAATGATAATAAAAATTCACCAAGATTTTAAATGTCGGGATTTTGATATATACCTCTGGAATGTTCTAGCGTTTTAACTCAAATAACATATTTAAAAAAAAAACTGTGTAACCTTATGTCAATTATGACACAACGACAAATGTCAAATCTTGTAGAGTTATTTCATTGCATTTAAATTGTATCCCCTTAACATAGGATATATTTACGACCCCAAATATTGATAATTGTAAATCAGTCGACGAGTTATATAATACATTTTTCTCGTTCCCGCGTTTCCGGGTCGAGTAATGTATGCCGAGTGGATCGGACCGGTTAAGCCATCCATTCGTGTGGTAATTTCGAATGCATTCAAATTTACAATAATAATAATAAGGGGCGGCATTTGCATGCGTTTGTATATTTCGTGCCGGGGCCAAATAGAAAAGGGGGAACGGGAACCGCGCGCGTTTCCACCGGACAAAAGTGAAACGGCAATAATCGGAGGGAAGTTCAAGAAGTTCAAAGTTTACCGACCACTGGTCAAGTCCCTAATGATGTTGTTGAAGTCACACTTCCGAGGATATTATTAGCACGAGGAAAAAAAGGGTGACCACACACACACACACTCATATACATAATTCCTTGTGCTTCGATAGAAATGAAAAAAAATGAGGGGATCGAAGCGTATGATACCGGTAATTTTAATATTTAAGTAGTTTCGAATTACACAGCAAGTCCATATCGAATTCAGCTTGCCTCTTGAATTTTCACATGTATTTGACAACTTAGTTGCTAAAGACGCGATACGTTTGTTTCGAATCTTTTTGACTGTTACTAACGTAACGTGTTTTTTAAGAGCGTTACTAACGACTATTTTTTTAATGTCATTTATTTACATCAGTCTTATTTCAGTAGATGGAATCAACATGTTTTTGAAATTCTTTAAATTTATATGAAATAAAATCTAATATATAAAAATATAATATTTTTTAAAATGATATAAACCGTATTCTTCACAAAAAATCAATTTACATAAATTTTGTTCCTTGTAATATCAGCTTCAACGTTTTATATTTTTCGCATACAATTATACGAAAATCTAAAGACTTCGTCATAAACAGTTATTAATACTCAAATTTTAAAGAAAATTAGAAGAAAACCACAAAAGTCGTAAATATTTAATTACATTATTTTTCTTAATTATAATCTTCGCGTGATTTAAACTATATTCAATAAATTATAAAGCTATAATCTTTTGATAAATGATCTTGAAACTAAACATGTTTTAAAAATGGTTAAAATTACATTGTTACAAATTTGACTGAAGATTGCACGAAAACTACTGCATTTGTGTACGCTTGATTCTATGTAGTTTTAACTTTAAATAGAGTATTCATTGATTATAGTCACTTTCTATTTATTTTCGTTTATTCTTAAGTTGGTTCAACTTTTACTGATTACAATCAAACAACTACACTTATTAATATTTATTTACGTGCGTTATAATCTTAGCTTTAAATAATGTATTTGATTTAAACTATCATAGTTTTTGGAAATATGCTCATCTAAGGAAACTGTTTTTTTATATTCAAATTAATGTCTCAAATTTGATGAAAGATTGTAAGAAAACTACAGGCATCATCAAAATGCTTTTATACTAGTTTGATTCATTGTAGTATTAGGATAAAATAAACTAAGCTTTGACTAAATCTGATGGAAGTTTGGTTATATTATTATTCAACTGTGACTAATAATTGCAAGGAAACTATTACAATCACAAATATTGATTTACGTACGTTTTATTCCTTATAATATTAGCTTAAAATCGTCTTTTTGATAATTAAAGTAACTTTCATAGTTTTTCAGAAATAGGCTAAAATCTAAATTGTTTTTGTTTCAAATGTGTTAGAAGATTGAGAGAAAACTACTGGCATCATCAAAATATTTTTATTCACGTTTGATTCCATGTAGTATAAACTTTAAATAGAGTATTTATTGAGATTTGACTAACAATTACAAGGAAACTATTACAATCACAAATATTGATGTAAATAAGTTTTATTCTTTATACTCTTAGCTTTAAATCTTGTATTTGATAATTGAAGAATCTTCTTTCATAGTTTTTAAGAAATAGGCTAAAATCTAAATAAAATATTTCTATTTTGTTCAAATTATATTGTTTCAAATTTAATGGAAGATTGCAAGAAAACTACTGTAACCATCAAAATGCTTTTATATAAGTTAGATTACATGTAGTCTGAAATTTAAATTGAATATTTATTGATTGAAAACACATTCGTCATTTTCGAGATTTAAGATAAAATCTAACGAAATTTATTTACTTTCGGTTATATGAGTATTCAACTTTTACTAACGTACGTTTTATTCCTTATAATTTTAGAATTAAAACGTATATTAGATAATTAAAGTGACTTTTATAGTTTTTGAAGAAATAGACTATATAAGTTAAAATATAAAGTAACATTAAATTTAATTATCTTATTTCATGATTATGCTAAGTTTGATAATTTTCTGTAAATTCAAATAATATTTAAATTGATATTTTTCAATATCGATATTCTTGACAAAATAAATGTTAGTCTTCTGAAAATGTAATGGATTTTAAACGAAAGTCTACATAATATAAAATATAATTGATTTATTTATTCATATATATATTTTTCATATACTTTTTGTTGTGTTTGTGTAATTTTCACATCATTTACCTCTTATATAATTTATATTTTACGTAATAATACTTATATAATTTCCATATATTAAATATAAATCTCTGTTAATGACAAGTGCGGACATTGCACGTTAGAATACATACTTTAGTTCTCAGGTTGCATTTGTTTTGTTTAGCGTGTACCCTTCTACAGAAGAATAAGGATTGATTCTCTCTCTATTGTAATTGATTCAAGGAGGGAAAACTTATTTGTAGGAATGAGAAAGAGAAATGGAAGGAAGATAAGCGTATTAAATAGTATACAAATCAATATATATATATATAGTTGCAGTAACAAGTAATAATAGCATTAAAAAAAATAAGACACCTTCAACCTATAATAATATTATAGTTTCGTCTTTTCGACAGCAATTTTTTTTACACAAGACTACGCGTTTACAAAAGTTTCAGACAGAAGAATGGAATGTTTCGCCACCATAAAAAGTACTTGATTTTTTTTGTTGTTTCTTCTCATCTCTTATTTTATCAAAATAATTCGTCCTTCTTTTTCGTTCTTTTTTTAGTATTATATAAAATAATTATTTATTTTAATTAAATATACATTTACGTAATGACTGGAATTAATTAACAAAAAATATAATATTTATATATATAAATTGGCAAATAATAATAATATATATGATTACAAAAAATATATCATTTTGCTTTTGTTTTTTTCTTCTTCTCACATATACATTTATAATAAACTATAGCTTTCGTTTACTCTTACATAGTTTTCGCTTTCATTATCTATTTAGTTTTCATATTTCCCGCTCAAAATATAGTTTGCTTGTTTTCATTATCATCTCCATGGAGATAATAATTATAATTACAATAATATAATCTGGATTTATTTTGTGTATATATATATATTTATATTATGTATAATAATATAGGTCCTATTTTTTGTTTGTTTAATTTTTGTTTTTTTTTTTCTTTTGATGTTAATTTTAACTAGCACCGAATACAGAAACAAGAAACGCGTATCGACAATAACATTTCCATAGTAACATCATTTCCTTTGCGAGGACAAAAAGGATATTAAAAGAGAACGAACAATCGTAATAGTAGTAGCACTAATAGTTAATAATAATAAAACAAAAAAAATGTAAAAAAAAAACACAAAATAATAATTATATAGATATAAAATAGTAGAAGTAATATACGTAAAACATTTCGAATATACAAGTAGACAAAGAAACAAAAGAAACATTTAATTTTTTGTTTTGCTTTGCTTCGCATGATTCTCGATTTCTTTTATTTCTTTTTTTCTTCTTCTTCTAATTAATTATTATTAATTTATTTATTTTTAACATTGAGTTTACAAACATTTACCTCCATTACTTGCGCAATCAATCATTTAATAGTACAATAAAAAATATATATTTTATTTATATATATAACATATAATAAGAAACTTTTAGCCCTGTTAAATAATACTATCTTTTGTTTTTGTTTTTTATATTATTCATAATATATATTGTATGTAGATATATCTGTATGTATTTTTATATATGTATATATATATATATGGTGTTCGAGTTTCCTCTTCTCTTCCCAAACGAGAACAAAAGAAGAAATCTTCTCTCGCCAACTGATCCATTTCTATCTACCTATCTAAATCTTTGACTTTTACAAATATAATTTTCTTCTTTCCTCTTAACTATATGTATAATTATAAATATTTCAAGAAAACTTATGATTACATTATGTATATATAAAAAAAATAAGAATCCCATTTAGAAAAAATATCACTGTCTGTATATATCTTGTTTTTTTTTTTTTTTTCATTAAATATGTTGCTTGATGTTTTTCCTGTTATTTCTCTATATATAATGTATATAAAATAATATATTAATCCAAAGATCTTTCAGGTTCGGACAACTCTACTGAGAGCCCTACTTTTGTTGTTGCTTTCTTTAATTACTCGGTCAGAAACATCGATTATCCAGTATATATTAATCTCATCGGTTTTCTTCCAATGTTTTTCTTTTTGTGTTCTTGAATTTGCTGCGCTCTGTCTTGATCATCTAGTTGTTGCTCGTGATGGGATTAAGGCATCCGTAGATGATGGCTATGACAATGGCGACGACAGCCACGCACGTGGATATGAGGAGTGCGATCTGCAGTTCGGACATGGTCTTGTTGGGTGACCAGATGGTCGACATGAGGGAGCGGTGTCTGTGTCCTCCGTGTGTCGGCGACGTCGATGAGGCGGTAGATGCTTTCGCAGATACCTGGGGCTCGGCCTGGGGAGTCGAGAAGTTGGAGAGTGGCGAATACGCGCCCTGCACCTGCCCCGACTCTGCCATCCTGATCGGGCACACTCGAACGCAGTATTCTGCTCCGGACTCCAGGTTCTCCAACGTGCATTTCGTCTCCGAACCACGATACACCTAAAACACACAACATGAATTTAAAAACTTCCGCTTAGTACAATTTCTTCATAATTCGGTTGTATATTGTACCTGTTTGTATTGTTGGTCCTTGAGCCTGGAGAACTGCACCAGGTATTCGATGGGATCGGCCACCGAGTATTTGGGTGGCATCCATTCGAGGGAGCACGTTCTTCCTTCGACGAGGGCAATTTTCGGCGGCTTCAACGGACAAGGAGGCGCGATGTTCGTGAAAAAGGTGTATTGCTCGGAGAAGTTTCCGTCGCCGGCGTCGTTGCTAGCGCACACTCGGAACGAATAGCTGGTCAACTCCTGCAGCTTGGTCACCTTGCAGGTATAGGCGGTGCCGCGGTACACGGTTTGGTACTCCTGGTTGCGAGCGTTCAACATATCCACCGTAAACTGCGTGAAGTCGGGGTTCTTGCCCTCCCCCCATTTGAGCCTCAGGTTGTTGTGTCCAACGCCGACGCAATCGAGCTTCGGTGGCCTCGGCGGAAGTCGCAGTGTGGTAACCTTCAACGTGGTGGAGTGGGAGCTCGGCCCGACCGCATTCACAGCCTGCAGCTTGAATCTGTAGTAGGTGTTGGGCTGCAGATCGGAAATAGTGTAGCTGGTGACAGGTTGTTGGGTGTTGATCAGATGATCAGCGTATTCGATGTTGTAGTGAGTGATAGGCGCGCCGTTGTTGTACGGTTCGTGCCAATTGAGAGTTACCGAGGTGGCGGTGATCTCGCTTTTCGGATTATTAACAGGATTTGGTGCAGCGGCCGGTGTAAGGATGATGCTGTTCCCGGAGTGCGGCCCGTATCCGGCGGAGTTTGATGCTTGAATGCGGAAGTAGTACGTGGTGAACGGACTGAGGTTCTTGATTTCGTGCATTGTTTGCGGGCCTTGGTAAGCCTGATGGAAGGTATCGGTGTTCTCGCCCACCTCCAGGCGGTACTCGGTGATGGGAGCGCCGTTGCTCTGCGGCACCTGCCACTCCACCGTCGCGCACGTCGGCGATTTGCAGACGACAATTGGCGGTTGACAATCGGTGGGTGGGGCGGCGGCGCTTACGACTGTGAGGGCGTCCGACCATAGACCTGCGCCTATCCTATTGACAGCCCTCACAAAGAACGAGTACTCGCAGCCTGGTTGCAACTTTGTCACGCTGCATTCCAGGTCTTTGCTCTTGTGGAAAACGGTGCGATTGCTGTCCGGTCCGAACATTTCCGCTTCGAATTCGAGAATGGGAGCTCCTCCGTTGTAATCGGGGGCAGCAAATCGAAGCACGGCCATCGTCGACTTAACTTTGCCGTGCAGCTTAGGTACGGGACACTGCCCCGGGCTGATTGCCTCCGTCGTCACCGTGCACGGATCCGAATAATTACTCACCCCTCCGATGCCTTCGCAGGAAACGCGAAGCTGATACGTCGTACCCGGAGTCAACTTATCACAGATAGCTTCTGTCTCCGTACCTGTATAAATGGTCTCGTAACCAGAACCTAAAATCAAATAATTAAACAATAATTGCGACTGACTGATTTGTTTAAACCTGAATTGACTTCTAATATGTATTTGGAAATATCGGCTCCGCCTTTGTCATTGGGCGGTTCCCATTTGAGGCGGAAGGAGTGCGCATGGATACGGCCCTTGACGACCGGTTTCGAGGGCCTCGCCGGTTTCTCAGGAAGCGTTTGGAATGTGACTTGCTCCGACCAGATCGAGTGTCCGAATTCGTTCAAAGCCTTCAATCTGAAGATAACATCAACATTTTAGATAATTCTACTTAAACCAGATCCATCGGCAAATTTAATTACTTGAATTTGTAGTCAGAGTAACGTGTGAGCTGCGTACATATGTAGTCCGTATCGCAGCCATTGTATACGGGACTGTAGTGCTCTGCGTTGGGATGCAGTATTTGCAAATTGTAGTCGTCGTCCTTCGGGCGTCGTTTCCAGAATAGATGGAGGCTGTTAGTGGCAGCCTTCTTCAGCTGCGGAGGATCCGGCTGGGTAGGAGCGTGATCGAGTGTGAAGAAGGCAACTGTTGGGGAGCAGTCACTGGTGCCAATCGCGTTTGCAGCGGAGAGTCGGAAACGGTAGCAGGTGGCAGGTATCAGATTCTGCACGTTCATCATCTGACCTCGCTGCCGGCTCAGCTCGATAAAGCCGCCGCCGTTGCTGCTTCCCTTGCCTTCATCATACTCGAGGATATAGTGGAGGATGGGAGACCCGTTCTGCGGCGTCGTCCCCCACCTAAGCTGTAGACTGTTTTTGCTACGGCTGGTCAATTTAGGAGGGGCCGGCGTCTCAGGAGCGCAAGAGGGCGTAACGAATTTCAGGGCGTCGGAGACGGTTCCCTGGAGACCGTCCATATGAACCTGCAATCTTACGTAGTACTCGATTCCGGGCTTAAGGTCCTCGATCAAGCACGATTGAGAATTTCCCAAGTATATCGACCTGAATTTGGCCTCCTTATTCTTGTCGCTGAGGAGCACCTCGTACGACAGTTCACTCTCGGAAATATCTACATCTAAACTATCGCTGCTTGATGCCTCCGACAACCTAGACGGAACCGACCACTGCAGTAAGGCACGCTTCGATGATAGTTCCATAACCTGTAACAAAACAAAACAGATAACATTAAAACTTTTATTTAAATCATAAATATTATTTTTATAACTATACTTCGGAGTGGCGGTTTCAAATACTGAGATGAGAATTGAATCAAACCAAATTTTAAAGTTAAATCTTGGCCACCCCGCATATATAGTAAATCATTTTCTTACCACAGGTGGTTGGACGGAACTCAATATCTCGATGTAGCTTTGCAAATCCTCGTCGTCCTGAACGCTACTGCTCTCTTCTCCATCCTCCGAAGTACCGACGCTATTCATACCCTTATTTCTCTTAATTCCATTTGCCATATCCTTCCTCTCATCTCCAGCACCAGCATTCTTCTGTTGCTTCTCCTGCAACTTCTTCTTGAGCTTGATGTGTTGCCGTTGCGTACGTTCGTCCTTGTAGTAGAGTGGCGGAGAATGGCCCGAGGGATGCGTCGGGATAGGTCCGTGACCTCCGACGCTGCCACCTCCTCCAACTCCACCGACGCCTGCTCCACCACCTCCTCCACCACTTGGAGGCATTGTTGTGTGGAAGTGCGGATGAGGCGGTGAGACGAAGCCCTGCGGCATGCTCTGTTGATAGAACGCCTGCGGTGGTCCATTACTGCCGTTCATAGGTCCGGCATTCTGCGAAGAAAAGAAAAGGAAAATAATTTCAACTGTGGAAACGAGACCAACATCAGAAAAGAGGAAAATAAACACAATAAACTTGTCGCATGTTGTGGTGAAGTTGAGACTTACAAGGAGAATGAGATAAAACAAAAAGTTATTTCGTTTCTAACGAACGAATGAACGTCTGAGGAGGACTCGCTGGAAATACTGATAGGGCGTGTGTTGCTTTCTCGAATCGATAATTGAAAGCTTTTCATTCTCAATATATATTTTCGCTTGGATTTCTTCTAATTAATATATATCATATGGTATTATACAAATTCAGACAACTTAAAATACAATTAATATATGACAGACACAACTTTGTTCCCATGGCAATCTTAAGTAAATATAATAATAACTGTCACCGGAGTAACGTTTACATTTCTATTTATTTTGTGTCGGTCGAACGTGAAAACTTTACAATTAAATCTGAATGGATGAAGACATGGAATTTATCAAAAAAATAATATCTTTTCTAGGCAACAAAATGTAAATGTTACTCGGTGCAGTAGTATTTAATGAATAGCTAGCGAACACATACGGTTGCTGTCCTAAGTGTCACAGTTATGGTTAGTTTCTGTGCGACCTCTTCACCGTTCCCGTTTTGCTGCTGCATTTTCCGACTTCGACGTTTCACGAAAACATATGGCAGGACGTGGCGCGTTTTTCCATCGGCTCGTCGCGCAATAGACTAGCTGATAAACCCGATATCGCCGTAATTGCGTTACGTTATCGCACGGAGCGAGAGCGAGGGGAAAAAGACAGAAGCAAAAAAAAACGAAACAAAAACTATACAGCAAAAAAATCATAAATAAATAAAACGTAGGTGGAATCGGAAGACGTGCTCAGTGTGCGTGGATTCAAGGTCGCCGTAACCAAGGAAACCCAGGGTTGATTGAGGATGTCGCACTATCTGTGCGCGAGAGATAACAAACCGCCCCCCTGAGGCGCCGCCTAATTACACGTGCTCGAATTCTTCTCTTATTTGCTCCACATCATATCACAGAGTCTAATTATCTTAATTTTCTCTCATTCTCTCTTTGTGCGTGTATATCAACACCCAATCGTAAATAACCGGCCTGTTTGGCGAGATGCGAGCGGAGAGCCGGAGCGGAAGTGGATTAAATCTTGGCAGGAAATGGCCCCCGGATGCAGGGAGCGCGAGACAACGCCGAGTAAGGAAGAAAGGAATCTCTTCACGAATTAAAACTTAATTGAATCTAGAGACAACCTCCTCCTCCTCTACCACTGTCTGCTACACGAGTTTCCCACATCTAAGCCTATTAAAAATCGAGAGGACGTCGCTCTTGGAATCTATGTTTTCATGCGAAACTCTATTCTATTGTATTATTTGATTATACTCACATAGTGTTGTGGGTTGTGCGTTGTGATAGGCAAGAGTCCTGGATGCTGGGCCGAGAGGATCAAGTGTCGAAGGGTGCCACTTTCGTCGACTATCTGCTGGACAACGTGCCCCGGTGGCACTTGGACGGGCATCGCGATTGGCGGCGACGAGTTCGTCGACACCATCGGAACCGTCACCGGACCTGGATTACACAAGCAAAAGAATACACCAAAATTAGTACTAATAACCACGAAGAGAGCAATCGCTAATATAAAAATAAAATTAGATTCAAATTCAAATCTGACAACTAATGTTGCATATTAGTTATGTCATTTCCCAAGGCCTTATGAAACGAAATGGCGGAAACCAATGGTTACCATTGATACAAATATATAAAATACAACCGTCGCATTTTTGTCCTCTTTCGCGCATAAGTTTGTCAGATTGACAAACATTAAATAACAATATACCAAAAGAAACACTTCCAATGTTATAAATTATATCATTTCACGAATTTGAAATTGAATAAATCATTAAAAATCACCAAAGATTAAAACTTTCTTAACCTCACTATTTGTTTTCATTACATTCTTCTCACTTACGGCATTGGTGCCCGCCAATATAACCTCAGCTGTACCTTGTATATTTGTATCATGATGGTTACCATCACTAGGGCACTAGGGTCGTTAAAATCGGTTTACCGGGCGAATACCCGAGGCCCTGAGGGTTAGTTTGGGCCCCAAATCAAAGTTCATCCTTTTTTTATAATATACAAAAACCATTTCATCAATTCTAACAGAAAATACATATTAAACTCAATCTTATCGAATAACAATTAAAACATATATGTATGTTGTATGATTTCCTAACGTCTTTTTAAATAAAATGCTCAGAAATATTTTTTTATTAATTAAAAAGAGATGATTAAAGTACTTTTCAATTTATCTGGTAATTAAAGTGTAGTCTAAAATAAAATCTGACAATTTTTTCAATGAATATTTCAATGTCAATTTTAAACAAATTGTGAGTTAAACACATAATTATGAATCTACTAAATTAAAATTATAATAAATATAATATTTTGAAAAGATTCTAATGCCGCGGACATATGTCAAACCCCAGTTTTTTTGTTGTACTACATTACACCTGTCTCGCATTGACATTTTGCAAAATGTCAACCAGTTTAGCGGTTCATATCAAACACCCCGAGTTTTGATACCAAAAACAAAATGGTTTGCTGGAAGCTCACCACAAGCTTTCATTTAACTGCAACAGGTGTATAATCCGGAATATGGCAATTCTCGTTAATTAGGTATTAGAACTACCTGTCCATAAATAACAATTTACTTGACAAAATTGTCAAAATGAAAAATAATTAAATAAAATATTTATAACAATGTTCGTTCTGACCAAAACGCAATGACTACGTAAATTAATATGAATTTGTAAACTATGAACTGTTATTTTTAAATAGCGATGGCGCCACTTGTATTTGCACATTTCCGTTTTAATTTTGTGTATTTGGTAAAATATACAAAACTAAAATTCAAAACAAACAGTTAATAACATAATATTATGGTTAAATAATACAGAAAATCAATGAAATTATTTAAAAATGTAATTGTTGTTTTTCGATGAAAAATTGGTTGCCTATACAAAAGTAAACAAAATATGTTTTTATTAAATGCGCACCATTTAACGAAGTATCATATTTAAGTAATTGAATGTTGTAAATAAAAAAAGGCAATAACAATTAAATAATTATTAGTTAAGAATCGAAACCCATCCCTAAAATAATATAGCAACTGTAACCGATTCCATTGGCAGACATACCTGTTAAATGCCTGAATGGTTAGGTCATTTTTACAGGTGGTTAAATGATTCAACGTTAATTCTATGATTACGTTAAATACCTTAAGTAGAAGTCGCGAATTGACAACAGCAAAGTTACACATTGTCTCCATATCAATTATAAACTGATACAATTGTTGTTAATGTGACCGCAATTTTTAGAAAATAAAAAAACAATTCGAGTTCCTTTTTGAAAATTATAATTGTGACCAGAAATTGTATCTTAAATGATTTCGAGTTGTCTGCAAACAAAACAGAATCGAGTAAAAAAAAAATAGTTGAACAACAAAATAATACTGCTCCAAAGCTGCAATCGACACGAAATGTCAATGCCAAATCTCGGCGTCGAGCAAGAAAGAATGTCGACCGGAACTCTCCTGTTGCCAAGTCGAAAGATTTGCTTTATAGAAAGGTAAGATCGAAAGGAATTCCTGAGATCGCTGTGCGACCGTAGCAACAACAACAAACAAAATAGTAAACTTTCGATTTCGTCGAGAGCGATACATTCGAGTTCCCTGATTCCTCCACAACATTCACACTCTAAACATTATTATTTTTTTTGTTCTCATTCTTCCTGTCTTCTTTTTTAATTAAATTTTATGAATCGTTGTACGCATGAACGACGTCGGTAATTGGCTAATTAATGCTCAGGGTGGGTCGCCCGCACTTCTCCCCACACACACACAGCTCTTTGTTCCGTGTTCGGAATGCCGATTTTCCCATGGGATTTAATTCGGGATCGTTAATCCGGCTGCAGCAGATTCGTATTCTTCGGCAGCTCATCTTCCACTTCCACAACATTCTTCATACCTCTTCTTCGGTCGTTGAGCAGAGGTCGGAGTTGTTGTTAATGTGGTTGGTGAGACGCGCGCGACCTTCACAGTCCGTTGTCCCCATCAGATGGTGACCTTCTGCTAAGTTTGCTTCTGTTTCATTCCATCCTCGACCACCTTTTTCCTCCCTCTCTCTTTGTTTGCTTCTCCCGTGCAGCAACATCATCATCATCATATTACGATAATGGTGTTCATCTTCATCGTTCCTCTCTCATCGCAATTGCATCTCGGCACCGAATTCCAACGCGCTGAGTCATCATCGTTCCTCAAGTCCGTTTTGTTATCAGCTTATAAAACAACACACCTTCCGTCTTCAAGAGGTCCATTTATTTATATTTAAATATTTATTTGATTAAAACACTAACTAACATTCATTTCTCGAACCTATCCTAAGAATGTTGACATTGATACAGCCGTATTCCATGGTATACCTTCAGCTATTCGTGGAACACTTTGCATAACATCCGCGTTGTCACTTTCCTTTAACCTATTCACTCGCTGCCTCAGCCGACCAAAAGATTGTAATCATGATCGTAGCTCATCGTAATTACCATTAAAATTGCGTGCGCTTCATTAAAAACGTGTCCACGGACAAACATAACAATTAAACGAATTACTACGACGAATGATAACAAACGATATAATTTATCATACAAAAAATAACATAATTTCATAGCTGCGCATGTACAAAAAAAAATACTGTAATCATGTTCAACTATGATTATATTCTCATTAATTGAGAACCACACAGTATTCATTATAACAATACCTTTTTTTATACATTTTATATTCAATACAAACTAATTTTAGGAGAAAATATTTGATTAACTGAATATTAGAAATAATTATTTAATTATATTATTTGTAAAAAAAATTAAAAATGTTTACAATTTCAAAAAATTTAATATCCTTTAACTATTTTATAAAAAAATGTAAATAATCACTCTTAATTGGGAAAACCTTGTACTTTCCCTTAAATTACTGAAACATTGTACATCTGAATTTTATTAAGTATATTTTTTCAATATTCTTAATAATTACTTTAATTTGGAAAAAAAAAGTAATTTGAAAAATGTAATTTTAAAGCAAACATTCTTTACTGAATGTAATATACTTGTCATAAATTCAGATCGAAAATTGTCCACTATAGACAACAGTATTTACTTTTTAATATTTTTGTTTGGTCATTTTACATCAGAATTATATAAATTGAGTAATTGATGGAGATAGATGAGATATACACATAAATGATAGGTTCAAGTGTCGATCCTTGGGGTATACCAATTTCCTTTTTCTATGTGAAAATGAAGAGGTCAGATTAATTATGTTGTGTATTGTACATCAGCAATATAATTTTCATTCGATTTCAATTGTTTCGTTTCCATTCCATTCTCATCTCGACTTCACGGAAACTTGATAAATAAAACTCAGTAAACAATAGGGTTCGATAACATCCTCCCAGAAGTTTTAATAAGCTCGTTGCAAATATGTTCGCAATGAACGCGCAGCGCAATTGCTGCACTCGCGATGGTCCAGAAACGTAACAATTTTTTTCTTTTCTTTTCTCGTTGCTTTTGTCTGACAGTTACCACTTAACCCAGTTGCCGCGGTTCACGTAACCGCCGGTTATGCAAGTCGCGCCGTTCTCGCTCTTTAGGATAGGAGAGCCTATCTCCGTGTATTTCTGCTGTAAAACCGAGAATAGCGACGGACGGTGAAATCACAGTCTAAATCTGTAAAGTGGAGCGACAAAAGGAAATTTTTGTATACGCTCGGTTTAGGGGGGCGGCAAAGACGAAAACGACGACGACGACTATTAAGGCGGCCGAAAATAAAGACGAGGTTTGCGGCGAGGAGCGCGTGAGAGTTTCGCGAAGAAAACTTTCGCGGTTGCGTAACGAGCGGCTCGGGCAGGTTCAACGGCCACCGTCGCAACCGCCGCCGCCGTCGTCTTTGCGTCGCCTTACCCTTCCACCACCCGCACCGCCCACTCACTCATCACATAATCACATCCTTGTCTTTCTTCGCTGATTGGAAAATCGGTCCGTTCTTGTTAGGGAATATGCAACCCGCGTTCTCCTCTTCTTCTTCGTCTTGTTCTTCATCATCAACAAACATCATGTTTCTGTTTTTCTTTCATTTCGTCGCTCACGTTCCGTGCATTTGTATTCATTCATTAGTTTTCGGCAAGGCTGCCTCCTCCTTCTTTAACACCGTCATCAGTCGATTTCGGGAAAGTTCACTAAACTTGGACTTTCCTCGACGGCACACCCATTCACGAAATCCTTTTCAATGTTAACTTAACATCGCTGTTTGTTCCGGCAATTAGACTTTGCCGGATAATATTTTGACACCTGCCAAAACACTTCTTACATACTTCAATCATCACAACAAATAATCGAGTTGATAATATTTAATAAAAAGCTGCTTTGACACTCAATAAATTCTATATAGTTGTCATTTACTTTTACTTTAATTTATTTTTAATATCGTATATCATTTGATCTTGTGATATGCCATTTATATATAATTAATAAATACCAGATTTTAAAGTTAAACTTTGACAGCAAGTAATTGAAATTTGTTGATTTTTATTTTTATTCAAATTATAATAATATAATTTCCGTATACATTTGACACTTTATTGGAAGCGATTCATTTCATTTGTTAGGTTAAGTTTTGACAGCTGTCAATAATTCACACATTTGTATCATTTTAAATGACATTAAATTGTAAGTTCAAATGTAATTAGGGAATTATATTGATAATCTGCTTCTGGCATATCTTTTTATATACAAAACAAATAAATAAGATAGATTGTTAATTAACAGATTGTCATCTGTATTGTTTCTCCAGACATATCACGAACAGAAGCGGAGGTTTATTTCGGTTTATCCATAGCCGCGCACCTATTTATAGCCGATCTGTCCTATTTTCGGAGTTGTTGTTTTCCATTTATGCATGATAAACATACCGCCGACTGAGATCCCTCCACCCGGTTTACGGCCGAGGCTTCTGCAATTAATCGGCACTTACCGATTTTCCGCAGCCGCCGTCGCCGCCACCGCCTCACGTCTTCCACTTGTTTTCAAAGTTTAAAAATAGAAGCGCGCGTTCACTTGGACCGAGGCCAAACGAAAGGAAAGCGAAAAATAATCCGCAAAACAAGAAAAAAGATAATATATGTAAGCAGTGAGCAACGAACAAGAAATAAGTTTCTGCACGACGAAACTGAAAAGACAATAGCAACAGATGAAAATTGCATTTCCATCTTCCAATCAATATTTTACAATTGACTTAGTATCTCTATCAAATTTTACTATTTCAAACATTGTATTTTTCTAATTAAAAAAGTAGAAAATAAATATAAATTACTAATAATACGTCAGTCAATTTCATATCAATTGCGTAATTTGTTAATAAACAAAGCTATGTTACTATTTTATATTAATATTAGTCATTAAAAGTACAACTAGATAAAGTATTATGTCATTTGTTTGATACACTTTAACCCCAACACTATTACTCATTATAAAAGCAGCAGAAGCCGGCTTGCAATAATATTTTTGTTACGTAAGTCAAGAACGTGCTTTTCTTCTAATGAATTTACTATAATTAGAAATTTGTGTCATTTCCAAGTACTGAATTATTATCAAATCTAACAAGAAAATGTAAAAGTCAATATTGTTTTTAAATGTATATATATATATTGTTTTCAACACTACTCAAATTATTTATGTTTGTACGTTTAGAAGTAAATTATAGTATTATTCATGTTAAAATATAATCTAATTTCATTAATGACAATTTAAATAACTGTCATTGCGGCTATTATGCTTTTGATGCTTATGTTAGATGTTTCTATAGACAGCAGTCACAAATTTAATATATGCCAACGTAAAACAATTGTCATTATAGTCAGTACGTATTAGAAGTAAAATGTCTGTATCAAATTAGACTAATGCCTAATTAAAACTGTCACCTGCTATTAGAATGTTTTGAAGGCAAAAAGTAAGTTGTCTCTATTGATAATTGTATTGTAATCTACTGTCACTTTTTCAATATGAATAACTGTCATATGTCATTGTGCGTATAAAAATCAAACGTCAGATATCTGTGAACAATTTATCAGCAGCCAGGGGTTAGTAAAGTTGTTTTGTTGTTGTTTTTTTTTAGGTATTAGTTTTTACCGGCATAATCGTGGATCGTGCATATGTGGTGAGGATGTCCGATGTCTGCGGGAAGGGCGTAGTAGTGGGTGTCTGGGGCGGCGTAGAAGTCGCTGTGCAGGTGATATTGGGGCAGTTGGTACATCTCATTCTCGACGTTCTGGCTGGCCACCATGCCGTTGCCTCCGCCTCCACGCCGTGACCCTCTGCCGCGTCGTGACGACGACACCTTTACGCGATCGGCGCTACCAACTTTCGAACTCTTTTCCACCAAACACATACAAAACTTCACGCACGGTTATTATCACCACTGATTGTCGTCGTCTTCGTTGACGGTGTCGTCTTGTTCCTGTTGTATTCCTTCCTTTTCCTCGCTCCTATCACATCCACGGTCGACGATCACACCTCTACAGAAAATACGATACACCTTCTTATCTTACCGCTGTTTCTTTTTTTCTTAACTCGATTTGCCTGATTTTTTTTCGTTTCTTTGTTTGCAATCAAATATTGTACTGCTTTTTATTGCGGAGCGTATAAAACAAATCTAGAATAGAGAAAAGTTCGTTTAGTTTCGATCTAGCGAAAAAGTGAAAGAACAAGGCAAGTTGAGAAATCACCATTCGTTAAAAGTAAAAGAAGGAACAAACGTATTCAAATTAAACAATTAATTAGAAAAAGAGAAAAAAAATAGAAAGAAAAGAAAACAACACATACATAACCCAAGCGTAATTAATCTAATTGGCATTTGATTATTTTAATTGGAGAGAACAAGCAAAAAAAAAACAATTAGTAATCAACGTAAAGTAATAATTATTTCCACTTATTCTATTTGCATATTGATACGTCAAAAATACCATCACAAATGTCAATGCACCATAAGCAGAATCAACTTGACATCTGTCTGTTACATTTTTGTTTTTGCAAATGACTCGAATTGAATTATTGTCATTAATTATTATCTTCGCATATAGCAAAGTGCGCGTACAAACGTAATATTAAGCTCGTTTCCTAAATGATTCCATTAAAATGAATTAGAAAGGATTGCCGATTTAAAGGAAACCATTAAATGTCATGACATTAGCGAGAGCGTTTTTTATCGAAATGCCAGCAGACACGTCAAATACTCATTCTCAAATAAAATCATTCATTAACTATCATATTGGTTTTATTAAAAAACGTATATTATTATTTTTTAAATGCTGAACTCTGTGTGTTTCTTTGTAGATAATTTTAACGATATCCATTTCATCGGTCAAAGAACTGAACGTTTCTTCGAACTGGTTAATAGAGGTTTCTAGACACCTCCAGAAGTTCCAAGAATTCAATTGTTTTATCAATATATTAAAAATAATATAATAACTGATAAAAAAAAAGTTAAATTATGGATGTAAATTTGAATATAAAATTAATGATAAAAATTAATTGATTTATGGAAATGTCAAGTGAAATGATTGAATAATAAATAATTATAATCAGCATTGCTATTACCGTGTCGGATGGTGAAAGTGTGTACAGAACTTTGTACTATTATTGTTATTATGATTTTTCCCAATCTCTCTCTTAAAAACACAAGCACTCTTGATGATATGCGTACTTTTAATTATCTCCTTTCGTAATACTTCTTTTGCTTGGATAACTCGCGTATAATTCTCAACAGCAGAAAGAGATTTGAAAATTGTGAAGAGAAAAGAACGATTCGACTGTGGATTCGAACGTCGTTCAACAGGTCCTGCCGTAGTGGCGGCAGAAGAAGGACTAAGGCCGAGCGGACCGAGCGGGTCGAGCGAGCGGCGACCGTTCGAAGGACGACTGGCGATTGTCGTTTTTCTTTCTTCTTGCATAAACCAACCGAGATTTTCCAATTGGCGATATTTCATAAAGCGAAAGAACCGGCGCGAGATGTTGAAGGGGGAAAAGCAACGAGAGGAAGGCGAAAAAAAAGGAAAGGTAAATAAATAAATAAAAATAACGAATGTCTTGGGTATTCTTGAAGAGAATGCGAAGATGGGATTCGTTCGTTAACCGAAATAAGGCTGTTTTGTAACGAGAGTAAGAGAGTCAAAGAAGAAAAAGTCAACTCGCAGCGATCTCGAAATTGTCGTCTCTCGATCGTAAAGAATATTGCTAACGTTAATAAGTAATAACAATTTTTCGAAGTGCTCTTTTATGGTTTGAATACGTTACGAAAACGTTACGATGTGGCATATTTGTTTTACGACTACAAAACTAATCGTTGTTCCTCGCTGATTTCAGCATTCGATTAAATATTAGTATTAATATCATCATCTACGATACTACGGTCTACAATAATAACGCCTGATCATCGTTTTTAACTGCCGCTCGGTACCTAATTTAAACATTTTCCAAGTGGGTCCTTCAACCTATTGCATGATTGTAAATATTCCTCCAGCAAATCATTCAATCCTTTCTATTCTATTTATACCAAATTGACAAAGTACTCAATTTACATTTTCATAGGTACTATTTATAAGGCATTCATTTAAACTAACTCAGTGTTTCATAACAATAGAAAATAACGTAATCGAAAAATTTAAATCATTTAATGTAATCCATTAATCAACCTAACCTATGCATATATTTGACATTTTAACAACTTATTGACAGCTATCATTAATTCCAGTGACGTAACGTAAACTCGTTTACTCCTTGTTTTATAGTCTTTATTGATCATTTTCTCAACGAAAGTTAAAGTTAACATATGTGACATTTAACATTGACACTTCATATTTAAATTGAAATTATTAGTGAATCTTAAGTAGATTTGAATTCACTTTTGCGAAACAAGTTTTGAAGGATTCCTGCTTTTTTCAGGACTCGCTCGGCCATAAAAACTGCTAATAAAATTTTGAAAGTAACTAAAACTTAGAAACTCTCAAGTTTTAGCCTTTTGTTACAAAAATTTTAGATCATATTAATCAAAGTTAAAATCTAAGAACTGTTATGAATATGAAGTTAACCTTTAGTATAATATATTTTTAAAACTGAGATTCACATTACCCATAAGTAAATGACAGATGTCATTATATTTCAAACATTTATTTTCTTAACGATTTGTTTTAACCATCTGATAGAAATATTGCTGTATTTATTGACGTTATAAAAGGAATATTCTTTTATTTCGAATTTCAATTACCCAAACGCGAATGACATATGTCAAATTCAACGTATATAGACCGAGCACTCGATGCTGACGAAATTGCGGATCGTGTGCGCGTCATTCGGCCATTGTTTACGTGTTTACGTCGATTGTTCCAAAACATGTTCTTTTGTTTCGTTTAATCGACGCGTAATCGAGCTCTCGAAAATAAATAAATACGCGAATAAATTATAATAGACGCATTTATGTAAAGAGAGAGATATATGTGTATATGTATGCGTACGCGAAGAACAGAACGTTCGCAGAAGATGATGTGCCAATTAAATTAATCACTCACTTAGCGGATTCGCCATTGAATTAATATCGCGTTTAATAAACAAACCAGATACTGACACAGTTAAAATAATTAAACGGCATTCCTTGCCATTGGTAAAACGATAACAGACAGAAAGAACCACAATGAATACATTTCTCAACTTGCCCATCTGCCGTAGAAGCTGTTACCACGAGCATATAAGAAAGCAAGCACAAGATAAATAAGCAATTTGAGGATTCATTACAACGTCACTCTTTATGTTTGCATAATCATCTGTAAAATAGCGTTACATTTGGAAGCAGCCAAGTTTTAAAATTTAACAATTTTGTTGGTTAAAAGGAAGCTAATATCCAGTTTATAAGCGATGAGTGTAGGAGATTTCGTTAAAAATAGAAACATGACTAAGTGCCCAGGCATCAGCAAAACGCCTCTAGATTAGATGCACCAAATTATAAACAATTGGATAACTTCGTCCTAAAAACTTCACGAAACAGAGCCTCCCATTCATTACACATTTTTTTTGTTTGTCATTTGGAAGTATTTCATAATGAAGAATTTCATTGTTGTTGTATTTTTTTTTCTAGGTTGCGATTCCATCACCATCACACGATGATCATCGTTTCCCGGAAAATATGTGTTCAGCTCCGTTGAACCCCCGAAAAAAACAACAACATCGAAAGATCCACCAACGAGAACTGTGTCACGCATTCCAAAATCTGTGACGGCCTTGGAATAAAGGCGCACACACAGACACACACATACAAAACAAAATCGCATCAAAACAATGTAAAGTGATTTCTGTTGGGGTGCGAGGAAACAAGGAAACAATAAACGCGCAGGAAGTTGCGAATTCCTAAATTACTGTTCAAATTCTTGGATCAAATTAAAAATATATATAATACGAACAGAATTATGAATATTAGAATCATAAGTGAATATCGTTTTACAAATAAGTTATGAATGCACAGCAAAAAACAAAATGTTAGGTTTTTTTTTAGAAAATTTTGAAAAAAAATCTCAACTAATTAAGAATACATGAAACGAATATTATATTCACAATTCAAACAAAAATTTCAATTTTTCTACTTTCAATGTAGTTGAATATTTAATCAACGAATCTCGCATAACGATCAAAATGAATTATAAGAAAAATGACTCGCTTAACGAGCGACGTTTTGCATAACGAGTGATGATGATGAGATAAGTCCCGGATTGCGTGCCTCCTACATCATTTTTAAAACTTGTGTATATATATTTCACTATCCACTATTCCAGTTTTGGAACGGATTAAACTCGATAAGCGAGGTTCAACTCTACATATAACTGTCAATATAATTATCATCTCAAAAAAAATAAAGAAATTCGATAGCCATTAGTTTACAGACGTCGGTCGAATAGTAAAGTTTCTATCTGTAAATAAACTAGTATCAAGTAACGGATACGTTGCTATATTAACACTTTGTATCATATTAAAGATCATGTCTTAGACGTCATAAAATAAGCGTTACCATTTTGTTTCGTCGCCATTTTTATACCGCTGAGGTTATGTCTGTTTTAATACGAAATGATTTCTTGATTTTAAACGAAATGATTTCTTCAACAGAAAAATTAATTCTTAATTTAAGTAATTTTTAATATTATTAAAATAAAAATTAAACTAATAGATTATATTTTTTATTAATATATAATTCCCATAATTTCATTTCTTCTTCATACTAAGAAAAGTGAAATTTATATTTTAATTAATGTTTCCTGAAATATTTTTTTTGTCTTATTATTTCAGACTTATTCCAAATATAAATAATGTTTACGTGCGTGCCAGCAAGAACACACATGTTTTTCATTGAGTTTCATGCAGAATTTATCGTATTTTTAGACAGCAAAACCGTTTGTTTCTTTTACTCATTGGATCATTTTCTTATTGCCAATAAATTGTATATTCGTTTCGCATAGAAAATTTAAAATTTTTATTTGTATCTTATCTATTAACTAAAAATGTTTGTAATGTAAAAAAATAATGTAAATTTTAAAAATAATTTGATTTAATAAATTGTGTAAAAATATTTTTTGTTATATCAATTATTTTGTTTACAATCTGTGACTAATTATA